AAACCAGAATTAGAGGACACGAACATCTGTAGCAAGAGCACCTCAATCGCAGGTAAGTGAATTGTGTGAAAGATGGAGCACTTTGACCCAGGTTCCCAAATGCAGGTAACTGCCTTTCTTTTACAAAAGATGGTGAAGAACAAAGAATGCCCTTCCTTCTTCTAACTGCTCAGCTCCCTTTAGGGGGTCACTGGCTAATTATCTGAGTGGGCCTTTAAGCCCAAGTGAGGGTCTTCCCGAGGCTAAATCCCAGGCAGTTCCAATCATCCTCGCCATTCTTCACACATTCATCTGCCTTGGCCTAGTAAAGTGCTATACATCACATACCCTACATGTTCTGATCCTAAGGCCTCTGGGTTAGGGCCCAACAGGGACAGAGATGTCTTGGTTTTCTGAGCAACCCACAGATTCTTTTCTACTCTGAGAGAGCTTCCAAATGTAACTACAGCCTTTCTCATAAGTACACTGTTATCAACTATTATCTGGAACCAGATATAAAGGTGCAGCAAAGGTAAAGCTATCAGAACACATTTTATCTATATATATAATTCAATTTTGAAACATGAATACAAATACTCATTTACAATATATTTCAACTTTCTAACTTAAACCACAGAGAACTTGGTGGGCTGTCCAAAGCAGACAGAAATGACAATTTCTGTCTGTTGTCCCTCTAGTGCAAAATCTTTTCCTTTCAATGCTCTCCTCAGTAAGCTGAATTCTTATCTTCAGATGACCCGACACGGGCACCAGCAAACACAGTGACCAAGATAGCTCCATTTCAAACTATGCATTGACGGAGCTGCAAGAACTTGTTGGGCAACTAATAGAGAAAAAGAAAGCTAACTAGCCTATAAAATAACATAGGGAAGAAACCCATAATCCCATTTTTTTTTTCAAAAATCATCTTCTACTCTCCTAAACATGTATATTGTGGCGGCAGGACCCCACAAAACTCTTAGAAGTCAGTCACCAGCAGTCCTATAGTCTGTCTTTGGCTAGCTTACTGAAGAGGCACTAATGCTTACTCCCTCCCTGCCCTTAAAAATTTTGGTTATCTTAGCAGATACAGTGTAATCTTTGGTTACATAATATGATGCTTTCATCTCTTTGTCTTTTTTTAAACTGCTTTCAAAGATGCTCAAAGAGATTAGTGGTGAGAACAAACCTGCCTATAAAAGGCAGCAGGGGTAGAAACTTCCTTTTATAAGAAATTGCACAGGCTAAATTACTTCTTTTGCTTTAAGATTAGGGTTTGATACTGTGCTTTATTATTCCTGGTTCCCATGACTTTCTACGGTGGTCAAACATGAAGACAACTCCCATAGCCCACTGCCTCTCACCTGGGCAAGCAGCACAGGGAAATTAGTCAAACTCTTGTTTTCTCAGGGTCATGCATGGACCATGCAAGTGTAGTCTCTGGGCTATCTGGGAGAGTCTCAGAAAGTGAAGCCCTTACAGAGGGATAGGAAGGTGTAGAAGGAGTGACTTGGGCATTTATGCCCTGCTGAGTATCAAGGACAAAAATGGGGCAAGGCCACATCTGTGCTGTGCCTAAAGAAACAAACACTTAAAAGCTACTTGAAGGCTTAAGTTAGGTCACTTGTGTAGTATCTGTATCATGTGGGTGGTAGTTCTATTTTCCCTTAAAGTACAAATAGAATACTTCTTACTATATATGCATGTATGTATTTAGAAGTAGAGTGTGGACAAAGAGGAACTTTAGCATTAGCATATCATTTCTCAGCTTGGACAATCATCTTAGCAACAACCCAAAGGACAGAAAAAAACCTTCTTTCCCTTTTTTAGTGCTGGTGAATATACAGAAAAATATATGTATTACTGGTTTTCTTTTTCAAAGATATATGATCAAACTCTTCAAAAAATCCCTTTCTATTAAAAAAATTAACAATTCTCCAAGAACGATACTGTCTGTGGCATAGAAAAACTATGAAACAAATAACCCATCACTCGTATCAGCTCAGAGGCCAGGTCTGGGAAAGTTGCCCAATGAACAAGAATTGAAATGGCCACATAACTCTTTTCTTTGACCACAGAGTTTGTGACCCTGGCAGCTATCTGCTGCCCAGCACATATGGGTCCTTCTCCCTGTGCTTGTTTGTTTCTTCCTCACTCACCAAGCCATCAAACACTGAAAATCCCTCTGGAGATAGTCCTTGCAAGTTGTCTGGTGAGTGATCCTCGTCTTCCAGCTCACCAGGGGAATTGGTCTAACTAGGTACCTGATCCTTCACAGATGAGCACAGCATACCATCCACATCAACACACTTTGTGGAGTAGAGTGCATGCAAAAGGAGACTTCAGTTACACTGACTGGAACAACAATGGTCAAGTGAAAAACAAAAATCTTCTTTTCATCTCTGAAAGGACAAAGTCAAGCCAAAACCATTTTGCTCACTGAAAACCCAGCGCAAAAACAATGTAGGCCTGAAGCATTATTCAGGGCATTTCTGCCTAGTCTTGCCATTCGGAAATTCGGAGTAATCCAGTTGTTGCTGCTTTCAATTACACTGCTATTTCACTGAATTTTAGCTTTCACAAATGAAAAACATATTCATAAAGGCAAGCGTCACGATTGGGTAATCCATAAAGTTGAAAACTTTTGATAGTCTGAAAATGTGAAGAAAAGCCTTTAGTATTTACAAGTAGAGGTATTAGACTGATGTAATCGAATCCACGTACCATAAAAGATGAAAGACATTTCAAAACGGATGCAAAGGAGCTATTAAAATTTAACCTATTGTAGTTTAAATGAAAAGTGGAGGATTTTTTTTTCTGTTTGAACATGTAAAAGTGATTCTGTGAGCTTATATATAAGTCAAATGATTCATAACAAAGTAAACCAAAATTTGTCTAGCCTATCCTAGAAAGAGAACCAGTAAGTTTTAGTTATCTCCAGCAGCTCTTGGATTAGTTAACATCCACCTTGGGTTCACATCTCCCTTGTTATTTAAAGAAGCTGTTTTGCAAGTTCTTCTGGCTATTAATATCAACACAGAAATAAGGGTAGGAAACCCATGTAGATCATATCACATCACTCAAAACTATCTTCTCAACAAAGAGAGTGAACTAACTGAAATGGGCAGCTTTGGTGACTGGCCCCTTATTTCTTGAGTTCAGCAAATGAAGTGAAGAGCGAAGTGCAGAGACAGTGGTCAATATGACAAAGTAGGTGAACATTCCTCTTCAATCAGGGTTGGGAAACAAAGTCAATAAAACAGAGGTGTGTCCAAGAACACACCTGGTGTTCATGGATGGCAGCCCATGGGAGCCACAAGAAACAGACCTTTTTAAAGGAGGCCATGATTCTGGAGTTTCAATGTTTCAGTCTCCCTCTGACTGAGAGGCAGCAACAACGTTGTGGAATCTGAATAAGTATGATCAGAGTCCAGAACCAGCAGAAAAGGCGAATGATGAGTAAACACATCAGATGGTGCCCATCTGGTTTGGAAATTTGGTTCTAGAGACTTTAGGCATCAACGTCTCCTCTCGGTTTCTTTTCTCGTCTCCTCATGACTTTTTCAGGTTGATATGCTGGGTGGCAAAGCAAGCATTTACAGTGTTTCTGGCTTTAATGCCTTCATTCTTCCCACATTAGTAACTGAGTTTTGTCTTCAACCCAGATCAGGGTAACTCCTTTAGCTGCTCTGAAGGAGGAAGTGGAAATTTCTCTACTTGATGAGAAGGTACAATCTCTGGAGGACAAGGGCAAGATTTTCCAGCTTGTCTCATCCTGTTGAGGCTTTCTTTTCAGCTTGTCTAAGGGCTCTAAAGATCTAATAGTTGATGACACGCTCCATAAGAAGTCTTCAATGTCGTGGACTCTAGAGATAAATGTCAGTAATATTGTCTTGCTAACCTTCTGGGGGGGCTGGGTGGGGGCTCTCAGCAGAGTCTATGCACATGCCCAAAGATGTAAACTTCACCTCCATGGCTGAAATGTAGTCCAGGAGGTTCAAGTCGAAAGGACACTGAAGGTAGCATCGTAGCTTGTAACTGTGTTTAGTCAAGCAGAAAACATTTAGGTCTTTTAAAGGTGAGGATAGAGATGAAATCTTCAATGTCCTAATGAGGAAAACAGCCAAGCCACCAGTTCCATTCCCTCTGACTCTTGCCTCAAGCTCCTCCTTGGCCCACAAATGAGAAATCAGACCTGGATCCAAATGGGGTTTTCCAAAGGGTCAGATATCTTCTCTCCTCTCACTGGTCTGACTTGTCAGTGGAAGTGGCCAAGTTTTGGCTAAAGAGAACATTCAGTTCAATGCTCTTAGAAAAACTATTGAAAGTCAATTTTTGGGTGGAGGCAGAGAGTGAGAAAAAAACAGGGAGGGGGATCATTCACACACAGACAAGTTTTCAAACAAGGAGCATATTTTCAGTACAATGAATTGCACTGCAGATGAACAGTTTAGCCCTCAGGGGCCAAGGCTGTGGGCAGGTACTGGTGATCCATTTGCCCTCTTTGTCCTTTCTTAAATATATCCTCCCCCACCCTTTCCCTCAACTCAGCTCTGGGGTCACCCTGCCCTCTAATGGCAATAGCCACTGGCAGAAAATAAAGTCTCCCAGGGAGGGAGGGATTGTGAAAAAGGCAGTCTGACTCCCCATAGGCCTACAATTTTCACCTTATTCTATTCATTGTTGGCCTCTTTGAGGATTTCTGTTTGTTTTGCTGTAATTTTAAGAGGAAAAATCCTTAGCAAGTTTTGTTGTTGCTGTTGTTATTTTCCCAGATAGTCTCAGCTCTCTAAACTTCCCGTGGCATTAGGTGAGTAAACGTTTGTTTGGCTGGCACACAGCACAGTGCTATAAACAAGCACAACTTGACACTGGGCCACATACGAATCATCACAGATTTAAAGAAGTACAACACCATTTAGAGCACAGAAAGTCATGGCAGGGAGCAGAGTTTGACGGTGCCATTAGAGGGTCACATAGGAAGAGTAGGAAAGTAGGAAAAGAGAAAAAAGCCCAGCAGAGAAGTCAGGAACATCTTCATGACAGATTGTACATCAAAAGAGGAAATTTCTCAAGGCACTGCAGAGAAGTAGAGCAGAGTTATAACAGGCAGATATTTGAAAGGGGGAGGAGGATGGAGTGGGGGAACAGGGGCTTCCAAAGCTTCACTGGGTGTGGAAATAGATGGGCTTGACTTTCCCAGAAAGGATCTTGGGCACTTGTACAGAGATGATCTCTGCCATCATTTCTGGAAAGTCCACGCTCACCATGTGGGACTTGATCAGCAGGTCAAAAGTGAACTGATGCAGCTCTCTTGCAATCTATAAGGAGATAATAGGAGATGGAGAAAACAGGATTGGCAGGAGTTAGCTTCCATCCAGTCCTCCCCTTTCTCTGCCCACCACCTGTTTTCCTCCTCCTTCCATATGAGCACATATGCGTTGTGTACATGTATGCCCATGTGCATGAAATGATTTCTAGGGTGTCACTGAGGGCTCCCAAGAGATCTCTTCTACCACTGCAAGCTCTCTGAGTCAGGACAGGGTGTTCTTCCCTGGTGAACACACACACACATACCACAAACTCATATGCACATGACTCAAGGGAGAGGGGAAGAAAAAAAAAAACATCCAGGGCTGTTTTGTCTGCCTAGACAAGTTATCTGCTCTAAGACACTTCTCTGAGTCCCAACTGCTCTGTTCTCAACTCCTCCACCTCTTTCACAACATCCAGCTGGGACATTGTGACCTGTGTTCCTTTCTTCTCTACTGCTTTTTCTTTCTGGACCACACTCAAAGTCAGAGGGGAATGAAAGAACCTCCCAACAGGTGGTGCCAGACCCTTGGAGAGCATATTATCACTTGGCTTTATCAAGCTGCTCTCCCTGACAAAGTGCCCTCCATCATTTGCTTACAGGCTGCACAGAATCCAGGAGCTTGGTGAGCTGGTAGAAGCGCCTTGAGCAGGATGTGGGATTTTTTCTCTTGCATGCAATGATACGATCAAGTTCCTTGATGTAGTTCATTCGAAGTTCATCAAAGAATTTTTGATTTTTCAGCCCATCCACTGGAACTGATGTGGGATGAAGACAGAAGGGGAGGGGAAGCATTGCCCAGGAGGGAGTATTAGAAAAAGCACCAAGATTTCTGACCACAGACTTGACCCCCCCGCCCACAGGGAGGGAAACATGTACTTGGCTTCCTGTCAGTTGAAGTTTGATGTCTGGGGCCTTCAAGCTGCCAGGAAGGTCTTAGGGGAAAGGCTAGCTGGATTCACTCTGAAGGGTATCAAGTAAATAAATTATCCTGAGCCTTTCCTTTTTCAGTCTTTTCATCTATACATTTCTTAGGAGCTATGGTCTTATAACTGTCCACATTATACCTCAGATTTACACAATTAAAACATATGCCTTTGAGTATCAAAATTTGCCTTCTACATTCCCAGAGGCTAAGGCAGCACACTGTTTCCAAAAGGCATTAAAGAATGTTTCCTAAGCTACCAAATTAACCTTGTCTGATTGGCTTGCATAGATCCTACATGTTGTCAGAAGGGTAAATTTCTTCTAGGAGGCAATCCTCTAGTCTTATAAGAAATTATAAGGTGATCCTTGTCTATTTTTATGGTAGAAGCTATGGAAAAATACAGAGACCTGCTACAATTAGCTAAAAAAGCCTTTGTCCCGAAGATAGGCTGGGGTAAGTGAGGCTCTAAGGGAGGATGGTTTCTAGAAAGATATTGGTCTCTAGGCATAAAATAAGTCCCTATTAGGGAACGGTATGCTAGGGTAGAGTGAGAAGGGAGAATTAAAGAAGGAAAGTTGTGCCCAAGAGTTGGCTTGGCCCTAATTAGCTCTTTAATGGAAGAAAGCAGTTCTCTTCTGAGCCCTTTGGCCCTCAAGGGGATCCCCTGCCCATCCAGGCACTTACTGATGCTGAAAAGCAGCAGAGCTTTCATGCACAGGAATTCCTGTGGAGTGATCTGGAGCCATCCAAATTCTTGAGAGAGGTGCCTCATTCGGACACACTGGCTGTACATCCGAGACTTGTGCATGCGGTACCTGGGAAAGAGATACACAAAGAAAGGAGAGGCACAAAAGACTGACTATATTTCTGCTGTCCTTCCATTCCCCCTGGTTCTCTGAGAAAAACGTGTTTGTTTTGTTGGCTCTTCAGTGGTAAATAACAAAGCTGTACTTTATTTCTCAAAAATTCAGACATTCTCATCACTATTTATCTTCCCACTGTGGCCAAGATATAGATTAGCACATGGAATTTACATGTCCCCATGCCCCTCCTCTTTCCTGACAGGGACAGGAAAGCTGAGCCAAATGAACACAATGGGTCAAGCACATGGTCTCTCTGACCACAATTCTAATATCCTAGCTATAGCCAGAGCCAGAGCCAGAGCCAGAATTTGCCTTCCAGGCATCCCAGTTTAGAAGATTTCTAGGATCTAGGCCTTAGCAATCAACTCTTAAGAATACCAGGATTCCCAACTCTCAATTCCCGTCTCTGTTTGAAAGCCATTTCCCACAATAGAAATTTAATAAGTTATTAAAATCACTCTCAGGGAAGGAGATTCCCTATGCTTATCAAATCAGTCCAGAAATGTTTCTGAATGTTCAATCTAAATATCCTTTGCTGAAGGGAAGTCTACTCCCTCATATACTAGCTGTTCCTTACCACAGATTGGGAGTTATAAACACATATGAGGTTTTATTTACTGACTTGTGAACAGGTCATCACATTATCTCCTATAAATTATGTAGTGAAGTAGTCAAGGCTTGGTCAGTTTTCAGAGGGAGAGGGGAGGGAAAAACCTCTGTTCCATGACTGATCATGGCAAGACTCTAAAAGAAAATACAATGTTGTCTCACTAGTAGGCCTTCAGGGGTGTGTGTGGGGGGTAAGGGAATGGGTATGAGAGAGAGAGGGAGGGGCACAAAGGAAGAGATTGATTTTATTTCTTGTGCAGAAAGAGAGGGAATTCAATATCCACTTAAGTGGTGAGGAAAAGACCTCCCAGATTGAGCCTGAAGGCTGTGGCTTGACCCATTGGTCCCAGGACAGTAGCCCTGTCCACAGGCTGAGCAGGCCTGGTACTGAATGGGAAGAAACTCAATACCCTACCTCAGAGAGATCTTAGGTGGCCTGAGAAAATCAGGAAGGTGGAAGATGGTGCACACATAATCAATTTAAACTGTAACTCAACCAGAAATAGGAAGTGTTTAGATATTATCACAATTGACCAGAACACTGTTGCTTCAAGTTCTTTCACCCTAGAGAATTTTTGAATAAGATCTGTTGGGGCCCAGCCTGTTATATTTCCAAGCCTTCACTGAAGACTTGGTTCTTAGTCCTGGCATGTGTGATTTCTATAATACTGTTATAGGCCATGGTAACAGAGACGGTGGGGAAAACCACAGAGAAAGGCAAGGCTCATAATTTGTAGGGGAAGGGAACAATAGAGAGAAAGGGGAAAATAAAAAAAGAAGGGAAAGCTGAGAATGGAAGGCAGAAAACAAGGGATAGGAATGGGATTGAAGAGGGCAGCAGTAGTACGTAGGAATAAAAGACAGTGGATAAGAGCGAGAGGAAAATTGGAAAACACTAGAAACAGTGCCTGACACATAGTAGGTACCTCAAGTCTCCCCACTAGTACCTTAAGGAGACTAACTGCAACAATTAGGGATTTTCAACTGGAGAGGTATTACATCCCTTGCGAGTATTAGAAATGTGTGGGCAGCTTGGGCTGTCATAGTGACTTAGATCCTATTTGTTATTTATTGGCAGGTGTTAGAGAGGGCAAATATATTCCAATATTCAGAAATACCTTACACAATGAAAAATTGTTCCTCCCAAAGTATAGCATCTCTGTTGGGAAACATTGGATTAGATATTTGTCAGAAACCTAAGAGCTTTAACATAGTGGTTTCTTATAAGCAGAAAAGTGGGGGCCCATCATTTCAGGAACCGTGTATATCATGGGTACATGACCTTTACCCTGTTGTTTCTTGTAATGAGATACATAGGGTAGGCCAGGAAGCTTAGTGGGGTGCCATGTACTTAATAGAGGTAGAGAAAGAATGAGGATTTAAAAAATAATTATCACCCAGAAAAGGTTCTAAAGACCAGTGTTCTGAGTAAGGAGGGTGTTCTATGTGTCCAGGGAGTTGATTGAATCACTGAAGGGTAGCGAGAAATGCATAGGCAAAGAACTTTGTAAGGCCTGCCCTAGAAGATGGCATCATAGGTAACCCTTTGGTGATCTAGGCATCACAAGGCAGGTTGAGTCAATGTCCAAAGCTTATTGTTAAGCTTCTGGCTACAAGGGTGAATTTGGAGGAAGACAGTTAGGGACACTCATTCTTCCCCATATGGCATCACTGAACTGGAAAGAATCAGTGGCCTGCAGATTTTAAAGCTTTTCTATTTGGAGCACTAGTGGAGAGAAAAAAGCAATTCCTTTGTTAAGCAAATACATTCTCTGTGGTGAGACTAACACAAGGTACATGGGAAGATCTTTTTATTTATTTATTTACTTATTTATTTATTTATGCATACAGAACTAGGGTACAGGTTAGAGGTGCAGGGAGGTGAGAGGATTCACCAGAGACAGTGTGGGGAGCAGGACTGAACAGGCAGATCGAGGAAGTACACTTCTGAGGGGAGCTGTGGGTGGGTCAGGAGAGGTCTGCAACACCATGTGGGTCAGCTCCTTGGTCAGGGATAGAACTCATGCTGCAGTGGCTGCTATAGCTTCATAGTGCTGTGCTTTAACCCATTGCATCACCAGGGAGAGCCAGGAAGATTTTTTTTTTTAAAGATTCATTTATGCATACAAGAACTGGGGTACAGACGATAGGTGTGGAGAGTGACAGCGTTCACCAGAGACAGTGGGGAGCAGAATAGGCAGAGGTACTGAAATACACTGCTGAGGGGAGCAGCAAGAGAGACAGGGAGGTATGCTGTGCCATTTGGGTTAGCTCTCTGGCCAGGTGGGCAATTAAACTTTGGTGCAGTGGGTGGTGATAGCTTGATAGCACTGTCTTTAATTCCTGCACCACCAGGGAGGCCCTTATCGGAAGGGCTATCATGGAACCTCAAACAGTGGACATAGTAGATTATTCCTATTAGGAAAAGATGGCATCTAAACTGTACTCATTTTTTAAATTCTTGGCTTTCTCAGTCAGACATTTCACATCCATTGGTTCCCATTTTAGTCATGATAAATAATTTAAAATACCCCGACTAAACTAACATTTGAAGAAATGGAGGGTCATGAAAATTAAGAATCTTGCCCAAAGAAATAAAATAATTGAGATTTACTTATAAAATACAATTCTGGAACTTCAGCCTTTCACTAAATTCATGAAGGATAAATATAGCTGGTGGTAGAGAAAGCATAATTAAACCAGTTTTTAAGAGAGGAAGTAGATGGGTCAAGGAGACATGGCCAAGAGAGTAGTGGAGTCACTCCTCCCAATCACTTACCACTATGAGGCATCGTAAGAATTAGGAATTAAACAAATATACTTCAAATTCTTGTCAACATGCAGTAGCTGTGTGACCTTGGATGAGTCACTTTATTTAGTTGAGCTCAATTTTTCCTACCTATTAAAATATAATTATCAATAAAGTAGAGAAAATGAAATTATCAGGAGGACTCAAAATAAGATAGGTTTCAGAAAGTCTTTGGGATATTCTGGCAAAAATGGTGACTGGCTAATGGCCCCAGTGGTAGCAAACTGATTAAAGGAGCTTTAGTCCACATAACTGCCAACTCTATGTTGCCCAGAGTAGAGAGGAGAGAACCCAATATAGGATTCTGAGATATGTTACAAAGCAAGTCAGTATATCAGGGTTAGGTCATGGATGAGAAAGGGATGGCTTCAGCACTAAATTCTTTGCCTCCCACCAGCTCACCTTTCATCAGCAGAACACAGCCACCTCATATTTAGCAGACTTGATGAGGCCTCTACTGCCTTATGACAGGTCAAATGGGTTAATCCCCACTGTTACCATTACCATCCAAAATGGCCAGGAAGTTTTGTTTATGTGAGCTCTGGGCTCATGAGCACTTACTCATTAAAAACCAGGTCAGGGGCGAAGTAGAGCATCCTGGAGTTGACATTGGTAAAGGACCGCCAGCCCATGGCAAACACCATAAGCCCCATCCAGGAGTACTGAATGACTGCCATCTGGTCGTCCACGTGTAAGTTGCGGAAGCCTGGAATGAGTGGGAGGCAGTAGTCAGACTGGGCATTGATGGGTTGAGCTAAATCTGGGCCTCAGCTGCACTGATAATCTCTCTCGAAGAAGCCTCAGGAACCATCAATGCTGGGGATCAGAAAGGAGCAAACTATATTGTGGGGATAGATTCCTTGCCTTCTCAACTTCACTGAGTCACTCAAATGACGGAGTCAAATGGGCACAGTCAATTGGAAGAGAATAATCTAACAACGACCATTTCATATGAATGAATTCTTTTCTAAACACGTGACTTATATTAACTCATTTAATCCCCACAATAATACAATCAAGTAGGTGTGATTATTATCCTTATTCTATGAATCAGTAAGAGGGCCATGGAAAGGGTAAAGAAGATATTATCTAATTTTATAAGGCTAGAAATCAGCAAGAACAAGTTCCAAAGCTACGGAGTCTCACTCTAAAATCCATGCTTTTGATCTCTGTACCCTTCAGAAGATGTAGCTGAATAATAATTCATCTGACATGAACAGCACTTTTCAGATCACGAAGGCTTTTTCTTGTTATAAACTTATTTGTTCTTTCTGATAACCCTGAGACAACATTATTACTAAATATTGGCATCTATATGATGTATATCTATCGCTAAAGTAATATCACTAGCATTGCCTTTGACAGCCACTGACCTCCACACCACATTCAGGCTCCTTTTCTGTGATTTTCGACATGCTTTCCACTTCCTTTCTGTTATTCTCTATTCAACATGTACCCTATCTTTGTCAGTTTCCTGCTTTCCTACCATTCCTGTCCTTTATGTTTTCTTTGGACTATTTTATTGCTACTTGTCTTTGCATAATTTAGATTTGTGATATTCTGAAAAATGTAAGTTTGCTGCAAGCACCATCCTTTCTTTCACCATCATATATCTGTTACCAGTGCACAGGGAGTTGCCTTTGTCTATAATGCAGTTCTCCTACCCCAGGTTTAATTAATTTAATCTCATAAATACTTACTCATCATTCAGGTATTCACTTAAAGGTTATTGCCACTGTGAAGCCTTTTCCAACTCATACATGCAGAAGACAACTTTTTTCCTCACTGCATTGTGTGTAGCCTCACTCAATCACTCATTAATACAGTGTTAGACTTTCTCTATGTACAACATCTTTCTCCCTCACAAGACTTAGAGCTGCTTGAAGACAGGGACTATTCTCTTTTTATTCATTTTCTATCCTTTGTACATAGCACAATTGAGATACCCAAGTAAGCATTTGAGAAATATTAATTAAACGGACTTAAGGCCCTTAATATTTTTTGTTTGTTTGTTTTATAAAACAGGAATAAGATAAACTCCAAATTACCACTTAGAGGCTTAGGGTCCCAGATGTTGCCAATTCAATACAACACAACACACTGTAATAGATGCAGAATAGACAAGGCTATGTTCTCCTGAAGATTTCTAAACATTTGGATGATTAAAGTGTCACCTCGGAGCTCATCCCCTACCAGAACCCCATTTTTTCTTGCCTCAAAATTAACTGAAATTTCATCTTGCTCTGACTTATTCTGAATGTTTTCTAAATTACACAATGTTTCTGACTTGAGTATAAATGAATTCATATAATCCTCACAATGAACTGAGAGCACACTCAATGGGATGTCTGTTTTACCAACAAGGAACACGAGTGTCAGAGAAGTTAAATGACTTCTCCAACATCATAGAGCTTACATGTGGCTGACAAGGACTGGAACCCAGTTATTTCAATTCTCTTCTCCTTCGATTTTTCCACTCTACTGTTTGAAGGCCAAAGTGTTAGTGTTAACATACATCAGAAGAGGTTTGAACTTACACCCCTAAAATCAATCACAGTGTGCCAAATCAGTGTTACCACAATAAATAAAAAGTAAGTAAAAAATAAAGAAATACCAAGGCCATCAGTCTATTCTATCTAGACATATTTTCTACTTGATTAGTCTCTGCCCCTACTTACACACCTCCCTTTCCCTTTCCTTTTCTTTTAGGTTCCAAGCCTCTCAGGCATTAGGGATTCTAGGGTCTTTCATAATAACATATCTTGCTGCAATCTTAGTTCCCAAGCCTGCAATGATATGGTAACACATTAGCCAGCACTTAAGCCCACACATAATTTCCTTTCTGAAGTGCTTCTGCAGCAGAGAATCCCTGGGACTGATTCTTCCTTATAGGAGACGAAAAACAAGACTCAAACATAGAACATTCAAGGATGTCTTGGGGGAGGCCCTGAGAGCATGAACCTTGAAAATCTGGGGTGGGAGGCAATGGTAAGCCTGTTGAGTGTGTGGATACGAGGCTCGTTGGTTGGGTGAGTGTCAAGCTATAAAAGTTCCAAAGAAGCTGTCAATGTTGACGTCCCCATGCCCCTCTTAGATTCCAGACAAAGAGGAGGAAAAAGGGAAATCATATTTTGATTATAATGCTAATAAATAGTCCTTAGTGAGAGCTGCTTAAAATTCAAGTCTAATTACCATGTACCAGCAACATGGTAGGTTAATTTTTCTTGAAGTCTAATCTGATTACAACACCTAAGTCTGTCTTCCAGTGCCCATATTTGAAGTAGCCTGCTCAGATAGTATTGCTATCAAATGGTGACGTGCAGAAACAGTAGCTCCAGTCAACAGATTTCTTTCAGTACACATTCACCAATACCTGCTAATATTGTGTTAAGCTATTCTGGACAAAGGCAGAGGAGTCATTCTCAGGTTTTGAAACACACCAAATAGGCTAGGGAGCAGTGGCAGTTTCTTTGAGACTATTATGTCAGTATAAACCAATTGGCATAATTTCTTAACAAATTATAGTGGAGACCTGTAGTCTCAAGTCTAGTCTGGGAGAACATGCCCAGACAAAGTCATTAGGAAATCATTGCTGGTCTACTGCACCTGACAGTCAAGGTCTTAATAGACTATTACTCGTTCTTGAGACACCTAGGGAAGACTAGCCACAACTTAAATCAATTTTAGTGAAAGCAGTAGCTTAGCACTCGAATCTCATAATAATAACCCACCACTTACAGAGCATCTGCTATTTCAGCTACTATATTAGGTTGTCTTTACATATAACCTCTATCTTGATAGCAATTTGCAAGGTAGTGACTATTCTATCTCTGTAAATGAGGAAACAGAAGCAAATGTAAGCGTGATTTTCTCAAACTTATACAACTAGCATATATAGATAAGACTCCAAAACAGATAAATCTAATTATAAATATACTGTGTCTATACAATCTATTCATCCACCCTCAATTAATATGTATCTTCTATTAATGTACCTGTCAGTATACTAAGAAATTTACATGTCAAAAAACAACAAATATTATCTAAGTTCCTAGCACAGTGTCTTAGTAAGAAGCAACACAATTTATTGAAAAACAAGTAACTTGAAGTAGTACATGATTATTGATAACATGAATAGTATGAATGTGGTAATTCTTTTTGAAGCTACTATTTTAAATGACTCAGATTCATAAATAATTTCCTTGGATGAGCTAGGTGGAAAACTGATACTGGCTTGCTGACATATACTAATATAATACACAGAAATGGGTTCCCATCCTGAAGTTTGGGTTGAGGAAAGCCTGTGACCCACTTCCTCCAGTCATACAAATTCTGCCACAGTGTTTTGCACTATATTGTTGTTAAGAGCACCAAATAAGAAATCAAAGGGAATGAGGTCATTATGTGACCAAATGAACAAATAAGAAAGTTTACCTCTCTGAGTCTTGTCCTTTGAAATGGAGTCCCTATGATAAGTCCCTACGATTCATATGATTCACAGGTGTTTGATTGGAACCATGTATATGTGTGTGTATGTGTGTGTGTGTGTATATATGCACACACACATATATATACATACATACATACATATATATATATAT